AGGCGTCCTCACCAACGTGCTTTCATTAGTTATCTGAATCCGAGAGTCATGCTAAGGGGTGGTTCTGGTGACTTGGAACGTAGGGGTACGGTGCGGCGGGTACGGTCTGCTGGTGCGATCGGCGATGGGCGCTGTTTGACGGTGCGACGGGTACGGTCTGCGGGCGCGACGGGCGCGATGAGTACGGTCTGCGAGTGCGATGGGTACGCTTGTGGGATGGGTGCGGTCTGTACTGGTGCAATACTAAGAAGCCTCGTGGCAAGATAATGCAGATATAGGAGAAAGTAAGTAGATAGCCTAGATACCGGACACCTAGTTTGAACTTGGTAACAATGCTTTCTTCTAATAGGAAGATATTGGAGATAGAAAAAGATACAAATAGATAAAAAAAAAAGATAAAAAACAAAGATATTGAAAAAGATAAAAAACACAAAAAAGATAATGGAGATACAACAAGAAACAAGAAACCCGCAAACACAGATTAAACCAATGTAAACAAGGTAAACCAGCGTGAAATAATGGAAAATAATTTGTGGGCTTTGTCGAACAAGAACGTGCGATGTGCACCTAGCAGGCGCTCTCAGGTGGAGCGTGAGATCATCGGAACAAGCGATCGGAACGATTCAAGAAGACTATGAGCGTGTGAGCTGTCTCATCTGATGAAACACGTGAGATGACCCTGGACAGCCTATGCTTCGTCGGGATGATGCTGGTGAAATGGCTTTGCTTCCGTGATTGTCTTACCTGCCAACCTGCCAGGCCCTCACAGGCTGGCAAACAAAGAGGGAAAGCCTGGCTTTGCAAAGAAGAGGTTTGGAGCGGGCCGCTTTTTCCACTTAGTTTGGGTCCGTTTCGGGCCGCGCGCTAGGATAAAACAAAAGTTCCCGCCGACAACGTCTGCGACGTTTCGTGGCAGGTAGATAGATAGAGAGAGAGAGAAGAGATAGATAGATACATAGATAGAGAAATATAGAGAAAGGTAAATAGATATATATAGATAGATGGATAGATAGATAGTTAGACACATAGAGAAAGAGAAAGAGAAAGAGAAAGAGAAAGAGAGAGAGAGATAGAGATGTGGTTCTAGTTTCATTTATGGTTTGGAGGGGGCCGCTTGTTCATTTAGTTTGGGTAGGCAGTTTGCAGGGGGCCGGTTTTCCGTTAGTTTCGGTTGCTAATTTGGAGGGGCCATTTGATTCATTTAGTTTTGGTTGGTAGTTTGGAGGGGCCCACTGTTTCCATTTGGTTTGGGTTGCTGGTTTGGAGGGGCCGCTTGTTTCATTTAGTTTGGGTTGGTTGTGTGGAGGGGTCGCTTTTTCCATTTAGTTTGGGTTGATGGTACTAATTGCACGTAATTTTCGTTGGTGGTTTGGAGGGGTCTGCTTTTCCATGTGATGTATTAGGAGGGGTTTCCATTAGTTTGGGTTGCTGGTTTGGAGAGGCCGTTAGTTTCATTTAGTTTGGGTTGGTTGTGTGGAGGGGCCGCTGAATTCCATTTAGTGTGGGTTGATGGTTCTAGTTTTTTCAATTTTCGTTATTGGTTTGGAAGGGGCCGGTTTTCCATTAGTTTCGGTTGCTTGTTTGGAGGGGCTGTTTGATGCATTTACTTTGGGTTGGTAGTTTGGAGGGGGCCGCGTTTTCCATTTGGTTCGGGCTGATGTTTGGAGGGGCCGCTTGTTTCATTTAGTTGGCGTTGGTTGTGTGGAGGGGCCGCGTTTTCCCTTTAGTTTGGGTCGATGGTTCCAGTTTCAGGTGGTTTGGAGGAGGCCGCTCTTCCATTTGCTGTAGTTTGGGTTTGTGGTTTGGGGGGCCGTTGTTTCATTAGTTTTGGTTGCTGGTATGGAGGGGCCGCTTGTTTCATTTAGTTTGGGTTGGTGGCAGTTACCCAAGTTGGGTCGCTCAAGTCATGCTTCTTTACTTGGGAATTTTGGCAAAACATATTAAGTCAACATCCAGGGTCCCTCGAATCCTAGTTCCTGATTTGGGGAGACCAACAAAGTTCAAAAAAAGTTCAAAACACCGGGCCCCAAAGTGATTTTTCTTTACTTGGGGAGTTCAAAAAGTTCAAAAGTTCAAAACTCCGGGCCCCCACAGTGATGTTTCTTTACTTGGGGAGTTCAAAAAGTTCAACATCGCGAGTCCCAAAAGTGATGTGTCTTTACTTGGAGAGTTCAAAAAGTTCCAAAAGTTCAAAATCCCGAGTCCCAATAGTGATGTTTCTGTACTTGGGGGGTTCAAAAAGTTCAAAATCCCGAGCCCCAACAGCGATGTTTCTTTACCTGGGGAGTTCAAACAAATCAGTCCCAAAAATGATGTTTCTTTACCTGGGGAGTTCAAAAAAACAGAAAAGATCAAATGCAGGTTTTTTTTGCGCAGTTGGTTTTTTTCAAGGCCTGTCAATGGCCTGCTTGGTCGGCCTGCTGCTTTTCATTCTTCAGTAGAGCTTCCCATTTAGCTGCCATTTTTTTGGGTGAAGGTGGATTTTTCCGGGCCTGTCACTGTCCTGCTTGGTGGGCCTGCTGTTTTTCTTGAAGTTGGTTCTTTTCCATTGGGCTTCTAGTTCGCTTGTTGCCTCTAGCTGCCATGTTTTTTTTGTGAAGGTGGATTTTGCTCAGGGCCTGCCACTGGCCTGCTTGGTCGGTGACAGGCCCTGAAAAATCCAACTGCGCAAAAAAAACTGGCAGCCACACACAACAAGCAAACTAGAAACCCAATGGAAAAAACCCACTTCAAGAAAAGCAGCAGGCCGACCAAGCAGGCCAGCAACAGGCCCTGAACAAAATCCACCTGCGCAAAACAAACTGGCAGCCACACACAACAAGCAAACTAGAAGCCCAATGGAAAAAACCCACTTCAAGAAAAGCAGCAGGACGACCAAGCAGGCCAGTGACAGGCCCTGAACAAAATCCACCTTCACCAAAAAATATGGCAGCTGGAGACAACAAGCAAACTAGAAGCCCCATGGAAAAATCCTACTTCAAGAAAAGCAGCAGGCCCACCAAGCAGGCCAGTGACAGGCCCTGCAAAAACACCCACCTTCACCACAAATATGGCAGCTAGAGACAACAAGCAAACTAGAAGCCCCATGGAGAAATCACACTTCAAGAAAAGCAACAGGCCACCAAGCACGCCAGTGACAGGCCCTGACAAAACACCCACCTTCACCACAAAATATGGCAGCTAGAGACAACAAGCAAACTAGAAGCCCAATGGAGAAATCACACTTCAAGAAAAGCAACAGGCCACCAAGCACGCCAGTGACAGGCCCTGACAAAACACCCACCTTCACCACAAAATATGGCAGCTAGAGACAACAAGCAAACTAGAAGCCCAATGGAAAAAATGCAACTTCAAGACAGGCCTGCTTGGTCAACCTGCTGCTTTTCATGGAGTGGGATTTCTTCAGTAGAGCTTCCCATTTGCTTGTTGTCGCGTCAGAAACGTTCCATCTGAGTAAAAGAGGCTAAAGCGTCCAAAGAATAACGCACCAAAAATTCTCAAATGCAATGTTCTTTGCTTAAAATAAAAGCATGTGCTGCCCTATGCTAAATTGACAAAAAGGATGAAAACACATGAACAAGCTGAAAAAAGATAAAAGAGAAAAACAAGATAAACAAAAAAGGTAACAAAAAAAGATTAAAAAAACAAAGATAAAAAAAGAAAAGATAAAGCAAAAAAACAAACACAAGATAAAACAGATATTATCTTTTAATATCTTCTATATCTTTTGCTAGTACATGTGTGCAAGATACAAAAACTTATTCTCTTTTACTTTCCTGACTAGCTACTCCTAAGTCTACTATATCTCCGGCGGACCATAGCCAAACCTATCTGAGATAAACATGACTTAAACACCAGATAAACAGCCTTATAGCTACATACTATCTTCTATTTCCAAGCTATCTGACTGCGAGGCTTCTTAGTAGGTACAGTCTGCTGGTGCGCTGGGTATGCTGCTGCGATGGGTGCGTCCGCTGGCGCGATGCGTATGGTTTGCTGGCGCAACAGGGGCGGTCTGCCGGTGCGACGGTACCGTCTGCTGGTGCGATGGGTACGGTTTGCTGGCACGATGGGTGCGGACAGATAGACGGGTATGCTGTTGAGAGGGGTGCGGTCTGCTGGTGCGATGGGTATGATCTGCCGGTGTGATGGGTGAGGACTGCTGTTGTGTTGGTCTGCTTTCATGTGGTCTGACCTCGTTCTGGATTGCCCAGTGTTTTGTCTCAAATAGTCGGAGGGGGTGGGGGAGAGGGCTTGTGGCCAAGTTTTTTTGAAAACGCAATCAAGTTCCAGGAGAACACCACTGGGACTGTAGCCTTTTTGCTTTCGAGCCAACTTTGGAACTTTAGAGAGCACCGCCAATCTCCACAAAAGCACTCTAACAAGTGTCCAAGACCAATTTCCAAGTAAACATCACCAATTTCGAGGTAGCCTGGGACCGTGCCGTTCCTGTCAAAAACATACCACCAATTTCAAAGAAAACACCACCAATTTCGAGGAAAAAGCTCCAATTTCGAGGAAACCACCCCCAAATTTCACGGAAATGCAACTAATTTCCAGGAAAGCACCGCCAATTTCAAGTTAGCATAGCTTGTTGACGAGAAAAAACACGAATCATTTTCAGGAAGGCGCCACACATTTCGAGGACAACGCGACCAGTTTCCAGACCACACATTGAGGGAGATGTTGCGGATCCTTCCAGCGCTCACCCTTTCCAGGCGAAGGGATCGGGTGATCACGAAAAGCAAAACTCAGGCACGCTGCAAGCTCAAACCATGAGATCTGTACACTCACGGCTTGATCACAAATCTGCTCGCGCAGCCAACCAACGAGGCTGGCGACAAAGGTGACCCCGTACCGTTCAGCCCCCTCAGAAGAGCTCCAAGATGAGAGCCATTGTGGGGGAAGTCCAATGCACCAATCACCTCCTTCGAGAGGTGGACGTGCCAGACGAACGGCAGGCTCGTCGCCATCAAAAATCACCGGGAGGTCGCCAGCGTCTAACTTCGCAGCGACATCCAGATGTAGCGCACGAAAACGGTCGATTGCAGTGCAGCTGTCCAGATAGTGGGCACGATGCAGCCCCCAAATCCGCCAAATATCGGGAGGTCGCAAAGCATGTGCTTCCCCGCAGCGGTGTCTGCACGCTGATTCCAGTAGGCGGTCCAGTCCTCCAGGTCCTCGATGTGATCATGGACGGCCCTGAGCCGAAACATGCTGGATCCGCACAAACCTGCGGCAAACCTGTCAAAACGTTCGTGTTTGGGGTCTCAAAGCTGGAAAGCCGCACTCCCACACGCGGCACAGGCGCTGTCAGACCAGATAGTTCCGGGGATTCCGAAGTGAGCAAGCCAGTCCGCCGCGGCCAAACTGGCCCGTAGCTCGGCCCGATTAACATCTTGTTGACGACCACCAAGAGGGCTGGCCCCTAACACCTGGTCGTGAGTAGCGGAGACGACAGCCCATGAAGCATACGCGCATGCTGGAGAGGACGGGTGTGCGCAGCTGCCGTCCGTGAAGAGGTCATGGCGTTCCGCAGGTGGTGGTAGAAGGTGTTGAAGAGGGACATCGTGTTGAAGGAGCATGGCCCACCGGAGCTGGCGCTCGAAGGGGTTGGCCGACGGTAAAAGTCTTTCCGTCGTCGATCTCGGAAACGACGGCCAGTGTGAGGTAGCCCACGGGTGTTCCGCATGAACCGCAGCAAGAGCTGGGCAAACGCGACATCGGTGATCGATGGTGTCCTCCATATGGCAGTAGGCACAAAGAGAGCCTTTCACCAGATCGAAGCGGCCTTGACTGGCCCCAGCAATGAAGGCGCCTTCCCTTAGTGCATTCACTTTGGCAGCATCCAACGCGGACAAGGTAGATTCGCGGGAAGAGGGTGGCCACGAAATGCCGTCCAGGCCAGCAAAATCTTGCCGATGCGAGACTTCTCGAGCAAGGCGCTGAAACCACGCTTCATGTAGTCACGCCTGGATAGCCAGGGATTATGAAGGAGATCCAATGGCAGGCCATGATGGTCCAATAAGATGGTGCCTCCGCAACCTTCCACAGGAGGTCGCATTGCTCGACAAGCTTACTGAAGGGCCCGCTGAAAAGGGCCATCAAGTGGCGGTTCTTGCAGAGGAAGCGCTTCAAGTCCTGAAAGACACGGATGAGCTGATTGGCGCCTGGGTCTGCGACGACCGTGCCCGAGAGGAGTGCCAGCCTGATGCCCGGATGCGCTCCAGCGTGCCCGAAGCCCAAGGCCGAACCGCTTTGGTGCGGAGCTGCCCAATGTGTTGCCAAGGCATCAGAGCGATGCCTACCTTTGCCCAGAATGACTGGATGAGGATGGTGACCTTGAGTCTTGAGGTACCCCATGAGCGTCGAAGAGGCTCCAGTGCATTGAGCCGGTCACGTTGCGAACCAATGCCCCGACGGGCACAGGTTCGACTCTGTCGGCGATCCGCGGGATAAGCTGCGTGCCCCAACACAAGAAAAACCCCTGCGCCAACGTCGGCGCCAGTCAAGGATTGTCATTGAGACAACTGAGAGGCTGCAGCCCTCCGGCGTGCCAGAGTTGGACGTTAGCATGTCGCCAATGTGGTTCTGGATGTTGAAGAACCAGCAACCAAACCCCTGAGATCTGCGTGTGGCCCGACCCAAAATCACGGTCACCAAGCGCCGTGCTGGCGAGGAAGAACCGGGCAAAGCCACAAAGCAGGCCGGGAGCGTGGAGCCAAGTGTGGAGCGGGTGCAAGCCACAAGGAGAGCAGGAGGTACCCAAAAAGGAAAAGGTTGATCCAAGATGCGATCCACGACGGGGCCGGCCCCTTCCCCTTGGAGTAGGAAGGACCTCGTCGGGCTAGTCAAGACCTGGACGGAGATCCGAGCGCAAGTGTTCCACATCCTTGGGCTGCTGCTCCATTCTCGAAGCACTGTTCGAAGTTGTGCTGCTTGAGCTCCGCAACGGACCTCCAAGGCCCCCGTGCGCTGATTCCAGGCTGCTGGGATTTCATGGTCATCAACCTCCATCCCCTGACCGTGACAGAGCTGGGCTCTGACTTGTGATTCGACATCAGCTTTGAGGCGCGCCTCAAACTGTTGGAGTCGATCCGGCCCTTTCGCCTGGGATTGGAAGCCACCCCAGAGATCGTGCTGAAGTCAGGGGTCGGTCGCGGCCGCAAGTGGCTTGGTTGTAGATGAGGAAGGTTGGCCCGTCTTGATGTGACGCTTGGTGGACAACGAGGCCAGGATAGGCGTAGGTGCAGGTCCCTGGTTGGTCTGACGAATGAGAGTGACTCACATCGCCAAATGAGCCTTGAAGGATGGTCGAAGGGGGATCGACCGCCGCGCCGACCTCCCAGGCTGAACCTTCAGATCCACCACCGGCAGCATGAAGTACCCGAGCCGCCCACCCCCGCGAGGCAAGCAGTCGCTGAAGACCGCTGCGTTGAGTACCATGTGGCAGCGGGTAGAGCTTGTAGATCTTGGAGATCTTGGAGTCGATGAACGTGTCCGATGGTTTCAGCGTAGCGTGCGCTTAAAGCGCAGTCCGTATTTGCCCATCATGCGGCATACACAAATGGCATTTGCCACAGTAGTGAACTTGTGCTTGATGTCGATGAGGGAGGTGTTCTGGAGCCAGATCACGCCTGCCACACTGCGAGCGCGGCTCAACGTAGAGCCCCTTGTTGCCCGATGCGAGTTGGATGGAGAGTTGCGCACTGTTGGGCACCTGGATCATGACGGAGAAGTGTGTTGCCTCTGCCGGCGAGCAGAAGCGGCCATTGGCAGCTAGCCAGCATCGGCTCCAAACGCAGCAAGGCCTCGATGGTTTCATCAACTGGCGGGTGGTATCGTTCGCAGCTGGTTCCACAGCCTCTGCAGAGTTGAAGGACCGGCGCTTGCTCCACGAGGGCTTGGATGGGTCGCTCCAGGAAAGAGGGCCAGGAGGCTGTCCACTGATCCTGGTAGACCGTGAGGCGCAGGGCTTGATTTTGAAGGTGTGCGAGCTAGTTGGTGTGTGTGACGGTGATCTTGCCCAAGAGCACCAGGCTGCCTTGGACGAGCATGGGCTCCGCAGTAGATATTGCACTGGAAACCAGAGGTCGGTCACGATCAAAGAGCCATGGAGCTCATGCGGGATGGGCACGGGAGTCAAAACTCCAAGTGCCAACTCTGAGATGGTCTTGCCCACTTCAGGAACGGCGTCAGCTCGTTGAGGGCACCGAAGGCGATGCCGTGCTTGCCAGGGGCAATGTCAGCGAAGGAGATTTGGCTGACCGGTTGGCCCTTGTCATCGACGAAAGAGTCCTCGGTGAGCGTCAGCAGGGCCAGGTTGACGTACAGGGGAGCTGCGTCCCGCTATTTTTCACGGGATTTGCGCTTTTTCTCCGCCGGCTGTGCCCCAAATTTGCTGTGGGCGCGTAGGGTGATCTGCCCCAAATTTTCACTGCAGCTCGTCGGCCTTAAGCCACCGGAAGGACAAGCTGGGTCGAGAAGCCAGGGCCTTCAGGGCGCTCCAGGGTTGCGGGGGCTGGGCCGCAGTGTAAAGGTCGTTGATGCCAATGCGCTTCACCGCCGAGAGCATCCGTTCCTCAACTTTGTCCTCCGGAACCCCCTTGCTGAACAAGAGAGGTCGAAGTGTCGCAAGAAGTTGCTGTTCCTGCATGGTGCTAGCAGGGCCCCGTCCGAAGAGGAAGTGGCCGGTGCGCTCGCTGATGGCGAGCAGCTGGTCGAGGTGCTGCATCACTTGGTGGTAGTAGATGATGTCCGTCGCGGTGACGGCTCCAGATGGCCCACGAGGTGGGCAAAGGCAACTGCTCCACATGAATCCGTTGTTGGCTGCCGCCAGTGCCGCCAGGAGGCAAAGCTGAGGATCCAGATATCCCGCATCCGTGCAAGATCGCGTTGAAGGCGTTGAGCGAAGTCGGCAGCGCCAGTGCAGCCCATCATAGAGGACACCCTCCAAGCAATCGTCCTGGACCGTGAGCACGAACAGGGACCAGTGGTGGTTGACCAGGAAGAAACAGAGCATCGGCCTCACGGAGGGGTGCAGGTGGCAGCACGTTGTAGCCACCGTTGCCTCCCTCGGTGAGGAAGACCAAGTTGGGTTGGTCAATCCCAATGCACCGCAGCCAATGAAGGGCCAACAGTCCAAGAGCCAGGCTGGAGGTACCGGCAGACCGGGGAGATCTTGGAGGGCAACGTCAACTCGGATAATGATCTCCTTCGTCTACATCATGCGGGCGGCTCCTCTCCGGCAGTGGAGACTGCGCCTTTCAGTCGGCAAGGCGATGGGGTTGCCTTCCTCGACAGCAGATCCCAAGCCTCTTGGGGCGTTCTGAGGTCGGCATACTTGCACCAGGCTGGCCAATCACCTCCCTCTACAACAAGCCCTCCGCGACTTCGCGCAGGTCATGAGCTGGCATTTGGTGCAAACCAAGCTGGACCTGTGTCTGCAGTGGCCAATGCGACGCACACGATGGTGGGCGCTCTCTCAACGGATGCCGCTGCCTGCCCTACGGCCTTGGCCAGTGGCAGTTATTTCGAGATGGCCTTCATGGGCACCTTCGGATGTCGAGGCCTTGCACTTCACGGACCACGAGCTCGCCTACTACATGAACAAAATTTATGGGAGTGACACTCGGGTGGCTACCCTTGAAGCGCCATGCCCGATCATCTTGCACAGCTACGGCCACACCCTTATGGGCTGCCCATGTGGGTGCCGACGCACTGGATTCTGCGAGGCCCGTTTGCGCAACCACGGACTTCGCGGGTTTGGAGTACTACCGCATCCCCATGATCGGCTTCGCCTACTACATGCCTCTGAGGCTGCCCTGCTGCTCACCTTCCCGGCCATCCCTTTGGAGCCTGGCCGGACTTCGCTGCCCATGCTTGGGCAAGCTGTCTATGCACACCTCCTGCAGGAAGAGCCACATCCAACACCCAGGCTACAAGGACTTCCTACTGCAGCAGCAGCATGACTATTGGAGGTGCCCTCTACATGCTCCACCAGCTCGGTTTGGCTTCAGTCAGATGATGAACCTTTGCTTCCCATCAAATGCAGCCCCGGTACCACCATTGCGCACCTCCTGGAACGAACGGCTCGGCACTCATTGGGGCAACTTGCTGCAGGTCTTCGGCGGCTATCGGGTCCGTACACCCTTCGGCACTTCCGGAAAAGGAACTCTCTGCCTTTGCCGCAAGGCCTGATCTTCGTCACCCTCATTGTCAATCAGGAGGAGGTTGGCAGCAGCTGTTTGCCTGCTGGATCCTTCGCCTTTGATCAAGTGGCGAACCGCGAACTTGTTCACGTCCATGGCCGCACTGACAAAGGCCCCGCCGGCCACGCAGCCGTGCGCGATGCCCCCGATGCCGGCGCAATTCTCCTTGATGCGAGGGAAACTCTCCATGGAGACCGGGCCGGCGAGAACCACCTGCGACTCTGGCGTCAGAAGAAATTCCGAGCCATCTCCAACCATGAAGAAGTACAGGGTGGAGCACGAACCTGGGGACAAGGCAAGGCAAGGCGGACAGAAACCAGCTGCAGCGAGCCAGAATGCGGCACACCGTCGTGCCCCCCTCCTCCTGTCGCTCCGCCGCGACCACCCCCGTGAAGATCTGGCCCGGAATGACCGGGCAAAGCCAAGGCCTCCTCTCCATTGCTCTCTCCCCGAGGTTCAGCTGTCCCAGTTTCACCACACTGGAGGACTCGAAACTCGTAGTCACGGATGTCAAAAGCCATGGCAGCCGACAACATGCTCATGGCAGCGTTCGAGTCTGGTTCATGGGAATCCTTAGACCCATTAATTAGGAGATGGTTCCTACCTAGAACTCGGTAGATGGGTTCGGGCGGCTCGAGATCGGCGAGTTGGAGCTGGCATTGCCCTGCCAGCGTGAGGTCGTCGACATACGTCGACAGGAGTTTTGAACCAAAAGTTTTTGGAAGTTTCCCACAGATTTTTGAACCAAAAGCTTTTGGACAAACCGCCGTCGTCGGGGCCTCTGACCACATCCCTTACAGAACGGTTGCGCCGCGTGGACGGGTTGCCCACGTCTTAATTGCATCTGCCATCGTCGCGGCATGTCCTGGCAGGCTCCCAACTCTTGATAAACTGCAGCAGCTCCCTGCTCGTCCTTGGCAAGGGAGTCCTTCGGTAGGTGAGCCGGGTTAGAGGGCAGCCACTGGGCTGATGCTACCCCATAAGTTCCCACAAGGTTGACCCAGAACAATTCCCTGGTGGTCGCGATCATGTACTTCCAATCTTGTGGTCGAATTTTGATGCGTCGATGAGCCTTGCTGACATCCGATTTGAAGAAGGTAAAGTCATCACCCTGAAGTTGGAAGGTCATGTAGTGTGAGGTTGGAGCGGATGTTGTCAGTCCCCCCGATGATGCATCTCTTGTCTGAGGGCTGTGTTCTCTGTCATGACCTTTGTGGGACTTGAACTCGAAGGTGATTTGGGTCTGCAAATTCTGGAGCTGTCCGATGGCCATTAATACTTGACTGATGAAGCCCCTAGCTTGTTCAGCGTTTTCCGGCAGAGTGGGTGTCACGAGATTTGTGAGATCCTTAACCCGTACAATGGACTCCTCGAGCGCTGCATGGTTTTTTGTGAACCTCGCACCACCGTCGGCACTTTTAGAAGGATTACCGTCGGGTGGACCTTTATCAGGGGGACCGCCACCGCCTCCTCCCCTCCCCCATTCATAGTGAGTTCGGGGCTGTCAGCTTCCTCGTGATTCCACCGCAAGCACGACACTGCGGGCCATGGTACTTTCGCGAGAGACCTGGAGGGGGTGCAGCATGCGGAGGCGGAAGTGGAGCCGCAATTGGGAAAGCACTGGCAGGGTTGCCCATGGATGGGGCTCGGGCGTCACCTACGGCAGCCTTTGGTTCAACATGACTTTGTGGGGCAAGCGCGGCTGCTGCTGCGCGCAGGTGCGTAGCAGCAGGTTAGCCAGTCTTTCGGAAGAGGCCTGCGCATGCTCCAGCGGGACCTCCGACAGTGCCTCTTGCGCTCGTCTACCATGACTTGCTGCAACATGTTAAAGAGGCAAGCACGCGGCCCTTTGCCAGCGCGGGTGCCGCGGCTCGGACCGACTTCCACGCACGAGTGTCACACGGTCGCAGCCGCAAACGGGCTGATAACCACTCGAAGGAAAAGGAGAGGAAAACACAGTTAAGGGGAGAGACCTGCTGTTTCCAAGCATGAAATGACAATTTCATGCAGGAACATGCTACCGCGCAGGCACCCTCTTGGCCTTAAACGCGCAATCGGAACAATCATGGGAACTGAAGGGAAGTGACGGAAATTTAGGGGAAGGATCACAAATGAAGGGAAGTGAAGGGAACTTTGAAGAAACAGAAGGGCCCGGTGGCCAGCTGTGTCGCGTCAGCGTGTAAATAAGCCCCTTCCGCGAACCTCTCACGGTCCGCAAGGAAAAACAGACATTTTGAAAACCAGTTTTCCCATTTGCAGTTTTAGAACGTTGCGGCGCCAGGCCTGAAAGGGCCTTCCATTAAGCTCAAATGGGCGACGTGTGGGATTTCTTGCAACCCAGACTCACAAGGCAGGGACTGAAAAGGGCTACTGCCGCAAGTGCCAAGCGCCCTCAAAGTTGGCAATTCCGCCCCGTCATCGCCTTGCCCGGGTCCAAGTGCCGCCACAGCGCCACCTGCAGCCGCGCCGACTCCAGGTCCTCGCCCTGACACCGGACACTAAAAAAACGCACGCTGAATAAATGGCAGGTGCCAGCCGCTCTCCTCCTTTTTGTCTGCGGGGAAAGCGCAACAACAGGTTTGCCACAGTTGCGGCAATCTGAAATCGAGCGTCGCTGGCCCTCGAGCGCACACTTTGGCTCATCTTGCAAGGGGGCTGCCGTACCGTTAGGCAAGCTACGGCCAATTCAAGTGAAGTTGCTTGAGCTTTTCTCAACATCCCACAAGATGCAGGGCGCCCTGCACGCAACCCTCAGTTGCAGCTCCGACCGCTTGGATGAGGCGCAAGCCTGCACTGACGATCTGAAGGGCCTCAACGCAAGTCCGCAAACCCTTGCCAAGAACGGAACATTGAATTGTGCATGCTGCTTACCTTAACAGCGTATAGATGGCGTGAAGCCGTTTGTCCAGGTAGAAACTTTTGAATTCAGCACCTTGGCCAGGAGATGCCTCTAAACACTAACCCCATTGCCACGGTTTCAGCATGAGGCGGCGGAAAGGCAGCTTCCAGACTCCTTGTATGGCCGTGGTGAAACACTGCTTCAAAAAGGGCACCCAGTTCTCGGGAAATCTGAAAATTGATCGAACATCTGGCAGAATTGCGCCTTGCAAGCTGCAAGGCCTCAGATTCGCTGTGGCGAGAATCAACTCAGACCTCAGCTCAGGCGCGCCGGAAACTTTAACACAGGGGGCCAGGGTCCCTCAAACATGGGAGATCCGTTTCCTGCTTTAGGCTGTCCATAAGTCCGCCGACAACAGGCGGCGTGTTGGACATGAGAAATGCTCCTTACCTCTTTACCTGTCACCCCTCCCCAGGGGCACGGTTTCAGACTATTGCGGGGGGGCGGGGGGGGGGGGGGTACCACGCCTTTCTTTTGTGGGCTGTGCGGAACACAGTTGCGTAAAAACATTGGGGTGTTCGATTCCCCCCGGGTCCGCTTTTGCATCCTTAGCACCTCCTGGGCAACATCACCTGCATCATCCGCATCAGTGCCTGCCAAGGATGTGGATGATGCAAGTGATGCAAGTGATGCCGGGGATGTTGTGAAGGAACATCTGGAAATGAAGGAAAATGCATGGAAATGAATGACATGAAGTGAAAAGAAAGAAATGGAACAAAAACATGCATGAGCCGAAAGTGAAGGGAAATGAAGATCTTCGGGGGAAAGGGGGGTAAAAGATTCTAGGGGGGAACTGGGAACTGGGGAGAAGATCGGGGGGCGGGGAAGATCTTGGGGGGAAAAGGACTTAGGGGGGAAAGGGGGAAAGGATCTCAACAGGAAAGGGGGGAAACGATCTTAGGAAGGAAAAGGGGGAGGATCTTGGGGGGAAAAGGCCTTAGGGGGGAAGGGGGAAAGGATCTCAATAGGGAAAGGAGGGAAAACATCTTCGAGGAAAGGAAGAAGATCTTGGGGGGAAAAGGCCTTAGGGGGGAAAGGGGGGGACAGGATCTCAACAAGGAAAGGGGGGAAAACATCTTAGGGAGGAAAAGGAAGAAGATCTTGGGGGGGAAAGGCCTTAGGAGGGAAAGGGGTGGAAAGGATCTCAACAGGGAAAGGAGGGAAAAGATCTTAGGAAGCAAAAGGGGGAAGATCCCGGGTGGAAAAAATGCCTTAGGGGGGAAAGGGGGGACAGGATCTCAACAGGGAAAGGTGGCAAAAGATCTTAGGGGGGAAAGGGAAAGGATCTCAACAAAAAAGGGGGGAAAGATCTTACGGAGGAAAGGGAGAAGATCTGGGGGGGGGGGGAAGGCCTTAGGGAGGAAAGGGGAGAAATGATCTCAACAGGGAAAGGGGTGGAAAAGATCTTAGGGAGGAAAAGGAGAAGACCTGGTGGAAAAAAGGCACAGGGAAAAGATCTTAGGAAGGAAAAGGGAGAAGGCCTCACAGGGGGGAAAGGCCTAGGCGGGAAAGAGTGGGAAGGATCTAAACAGGGAAAGGGAAAAGATCTTAGAGAGGAAAAGGAAGAAGATCTTGGGGGGAAAAGGCCTTAGGGCAAGGGGGAAAGGCCTTAAGGGGGGAAAGCGGGGGAAAGGATCTCAACAGGGACAGGGAGAAAAGATCTTGAGGGGAAAGGAGGAAAGGATCTCAACCGGGGGAAAAGATCTTGGGGGGGAAAAGGGAGAAGATTTGAGGAAGGGAAAGGCTTTAGGGGGGAAAGGGGGGCAGGGAAAGGGGGAAACATCTTAGGGAGGAAAAGGAAGAAGATCTTGGGGGGAAAAGGTCTTAGGGGGGAAAGGGGGGGAAAGGACCTCAACAAGGAAATGGTGGAAGAGATATTAGGAAGGCAAGGGGAGAAGATCCCGGGTGGGCTAAAAAGGCTTTAGGGATCTCAACAGGGAAAGGGGGGCAAAATCTCAGAGGGGAAGGGGGGCAAGGGGACAACTCCAACTGGACGCAAATAAGAAAGCAGGCCTGTAATGTCGGCGGCCTGAGCCGGAGGCGTTCAAATATTGGTTTGCTGCGAGTCTTGGCAACCCCCCGTTGGCCGAACTATGGCCCTCACAATGGCCATGAAACCATGCGCCCCCCCCCCTCCACACAGTCGACATGTTGCAAGGCCCAGGCCTTTGCTTGCCCCATCGTTCATCCCTTCTCAATTTCCTCACAGTCGTGATTCAGATTCTTCCGCCAACTGCTCCCCTGGGCCCCTGGCCGCTGCAATCTTCTCAGGGACCTCTGTGCACTCGGCGATGAGCTCGAGAAAGCTTCAACTCGGTACCGGAATTCCGGAATGGCCCTTCAACTTGGGCGAATCGGCAAATAAATCATGTTGCCAGGCGCTGCCACCTTTGAAGTGTTCTCTGCGCTGCAACTGATCGAAATAATGAAAAATGAAGAAACCCGAGCCTCGAAGCACAGTCCCGTTCCGGCGAAATCATCTGAATCTAGCAATCAGTCACCCTTGCGGCGTTGGAACTGTGGCTTCTCTGTGAGGAAAGAAATGGGGATGGATCTGTTTAGAGTTTAGTTTTTTTGCGCTGATGTTTCAGGTCAACCAGTGTCTTCAGTTCGTAGCGCGGCATCTACATTGCCATGATCAAAAAAGGAGACTGCGAGCGTGCGCTTCCGGTTCGGAAGTGCATGCTTTTGAAGCAAGCTGATAGGCGCCGTTGCCGGAGATCCTGTCCCGTCGGTCCTGAGAATCGTTTCGGCCTCGTGAATGCGACTTGGTCCAGTTGCTGGCAGCGAGTTGTGTAGCAGACGTGCTTGCTGGCAGCGAGACGCGCTTGCTGCCAGAGAGTTATGTAGCAGGCGCGCTTGCTGGCAGCGAGTTATGTAGCAGACGCGTTTGCTGTCAGAGAGATTTGTAGCAGACGCGCTCGCTGGCAGCGAGTTATGTAGCAGACGCGTTTGCTGTCAGAGAGATTTGTAGCAGACGTGCTTGCTGGCAGCGAGTTATGTAGCAGACGCGTTTGCTGTCAGAGAGTTATGTAGAAGACGTGCTTGCTGGCAGCGAGACGCGTTTGCTGGCAGAGAGTTGTGTGGCAGACGCGTTTGCTGGCAGCGAGTTGTGTAGCAGACGTGCTTGCTGGCAGCGCGACGCGTTTGCTGCCAGAGAGTTATGTAGCAGACGCGCAGCGCTGAACGAAGGCGGCAAGCTTGCTCTTGAAAACTGCACGCTGAACCAGCGTGCGTGCGCTGGCAAAGGCTCCAGCTCTTCCGGCGCCCGCCAACCACCAATACCAGCAAACTCAGCTGTGGCAAAAGCAGAGCTGCACACTCGCCGCGCAGCCCCCAGAGTCCGCAGAGGTAGACCAACCGAACCACTGCAGCGTTGCAGAAAAGCTGCGCAGCCCAAGCGACTTCTCTGCATGTGGTGGTGGTAGGGCTCGAAGAACACTAAGCTGCTTTGCGCTCCCAAGGTGTCTAAAGGCCGTCGCACGAGCGCGATGAGACCCCGCACAGTCGCCAACCCAGACAAGCATCGCAGCTCCCCACAAGCACGCTTACCAGCAAACGGTTATCCAACGCTGCCACATTGTTTGCATATTAAGTCACGCTGACAAGCCAGGGGGAACCAGAAACAGCCTCCGGCAAACCAGAGGAGACTGCCGATGACCTTCTCCACAAAGCGCCGGTCCACTCTGCGCGCTGGCTTGCGCAACTGCTGCAGCAACTGCACAATCTTCACCGCCTTCGTCTTTGGAATTGAAACGTGCATTGCGCCTAAGTCAAACTGCCAGCCCAGCCAAGCAAACCGGTTCCCGAACTGCATCTTCTCCTCGGACAATAGAACCCCCAAGGCGCAGAGAAACATGATGCAAACGCACGCCATCAGCGGCGCCACTGTGAGCTGGGAAAGACCCCGTCGTCCACAGAGAGAGAACCCCCGCGCCAAACGTAACCTAACTTGTGCAAGTGTCGCAGCACGAAGGCCCCCGCCCGTGAGAACCAGTAGGCGGACCACCTTGCGCCAAAATAGCAACACTTGTAGTAGAACCAGCGCCCCTCAAACGTGAAGCACGCTCTGCCTCTGTCACTTCTACCAGCTTGCGCGTGCCACGCGCATCCCAGCCCCTAACCCACCAAGCTGCTGCTCAAAAGGCTGCACGACCAAGCACTGCGCCAAGCAAGCAAGAGGGTGGGCAAGGAGCGATAGCTGCATCTGTGCTTGTGCACAGATGCCTGTCTGAGACTTTTTGGAAAAATTCATGGTTCCGGCTATCCGGGGTTTTGCTTTGCATCTAGGGTTTTGCTTTATCAACAAAAACAGCGTCTCAGTGACTGCTGCTCTGGCCACACAGATGAGTGGCGCTTGCACGCGTGCCAATGCATTGCGCTGCAAGTCCCACGGTGGGAAAATCTTGAGGGTTACAGCTCTGTGGGGATGACGCAACTGATTCAGAATATCGCGCCAGTCATCCGGAATTGTGATGAACATCCTGGTTTTGCCCAAGCATCCTTCTGGGCCGCGCTGTTCAAGTCAAGTTGCTTCTTCTCGCTGCTGTATTCGGTGTGCGTGCAACTCAGCAATGCGCTGCAGGATTTTAGTTTATGGTTGCTTGCCCTGTCATTCTTAGGTCCTTCAAATGTCAAATTCATGAAAGGCTTTGCCTACAGCAACCAACCGTTGAGCATGCCCCCTCCACAAATCGGAAGGGTACATCGCGTACAGCGCGTGATTCGCGTTTGCCTCTTCTGTGGCACTCACGCTCTTCAGTCCCACATGCAACTTGTTTTTGAACAAACGGTGCTGCAGGATCTGTGTGGATAAAAAGGTATGTATATATGTTGTTGATTTGCGTGCTTTGAACGATTCCCCTTTGTCACCTTATCACCCCCGCAATCCCTTGCGCAAGTTGGCAAGGCGTGACCGCTGGCGCCAAACTTGCCATGTTACCGTGTTCTTCTACAGGAGTGTGAACGCTCACAGCGATTGTTGGCCGATTTTCTGGGGGAAATTGTTCTTCAGGAGCTGCCAGAGAGAATTCGCTTGTGGAGCTTGTTGTGCGATAGCTTGCAAGGGTTGGCGGGCTCTAGTTTGCAGAATTTCCCTTGCACATACTTGCAGTGTTTTTGGGGCCTAGTTTGCCAAATTTGCTACAGATTGGCTTGCGGAGATGATTGGGCGGTAGCTTGCGGAATTTCGATCATCTGTGAACTTGCAAGGGGTTGGCATCTCTGGCAGGGAGTGTTGGGGTCCAGCTTGCGCAGAGTCCTTGGAGCATGCAGGTTTGACTCTGGCTTTTGCCATTTCCCAAGCTGGTTTGAAGAGATTCTTGCATGCTCTTCCCCACGGAATCTCTTGCGCTTTAGCTTGCAGGGATTGTTGGGTTCTGGCTTGCAGAATTTCTTTTGCGGAAGCTCCTAGGGATTGTTGAACTTCGCTTTGCGGATTATCCGCTCGCAAGCTTGCAGGCTTTGTTGCATGGTGTTTGGCTTGGGCAATTTTTATCGGGGGGGTGGCCAGGAGTGGTTGAGTTTTGGCTTGCTTGGCTTGGGCTTTCTGTGCGCTCGCTTGCAGATCTTTGCGCAGCTTTCTGTGTGTGAGCCTGCCTGCGCTGCGGAAATGTTTGATGTTAGCTTGCAGGGAGTTTGGGGATCTAGTTTGCACAAGTTCCTGAGCATTGCCGTGCAGAGGTTGCTTGGGACCTGATTTTGTGACGGATGTCATTGTCATTCTTCACAAAATGTGTGGGGCAATTTCTGCGCTAAGTTTGGCCGGGTTAGGGCCAGGTGGTTTGTGACGAATGTCATTGACATTCTTCACAAAACTTTCAAATTTGGAACAGCAGAGCGCGCAACAAGCGGGCCGGACTTCTCGGCAGACCAAATAAAGTGATTTCTGGTTGTTTTGTGACGAATGTCATTGTCATCCTTCACAAGTCTGCCGCCCCCGTGGGCATTCAGGTTTGTGAAAGAAAGGCCTCTCAGAGAAAAAAAAGCCTCTCAGAAATTTGGCTCATCAAGCCAAATATTCCGTCACAAACTCCGGGTGTGACAGCCGAACTAATCACAAAAGAGTGCTGCGACGGCCTAACTCATCACCAAATCCGGGGTGCGCCGTCCGAACTGGTCACAAAATTCGTTGCGCGACAGTCCGCAAACTACTGCAAAAAAGAATCCACAAAGAAGAGCCCAACATTCCCCACACACACACACGCACACACACACACACACGCGCACACACACACACACACACGCACACACGCACCGCATAGGATCCAGCAACTCTGCGAGTAGCACAGCGTGAGCTTGCAGACATTGTTGAATTCCGGGTGCAAGTTTGCAGGCATTCCCGCTAGCTTACGGACTTTTTAGCGCATTGCCAGGGATTGTTGGGGTCTAGCTGCAGAAATCTTCGTGAGCTGGCAGGGCTTATTCGCAGAGCTATTTTGGTCTAGCTTGCGGACACTGCTTGGCATTTGCACAAGCTAGTCTCCCAAGCAACCTCTGCATGGCAATGCTCAGGAAATTGTGCAAACTAGATCCCCAAAATCCCTGCAAGCTAACATCAAACATTTCCGCATCGCAGGCAGGCTCACACACAGGAAGCTGCGCAAAGATCTGCAAGCGATCGCGCAGAAAGCCCAGCAAGCCAGGCAAGCCAAAACTCAACCACTCTGGCCAGCTAGCCCAATAAGAATTGCCCAAGCCAAACAACATGCAACAACGCCTGCAAGCTTGCGAGCGGATAATCCGCAAAGCGAAGTTCAACAATCCCTAGGAGCTTCCGCAAAAGAAATTCTGCAAGCCAGAACCCAACAATCCCTGCAAGCTAAAGCGCAAGAGATTCCGTGGGGAAGAGCATGCAAGAATCTCTTCAAACCAGCTTGGGAAATGGCAAAAGCCAGAGTCAAACCTGCATGCTCCAAGGACTCTGTGCAAGCTGGACCCCAACACTCCCTGCCAGAGATGCCAACAACCTTGCAAGTTCACAGATGATCGAAATTCCGCAAACTACCGCCCAATCATCTCCGCAAGCTAATCTGTAGCAAATTTGGCAAATAAGGCCCCAAAAACACTGCAAGTATGTGCAAGGGAAATTCTGCAAACTAGAGCCCGCCAACCCTTGCAAGCTATCGCACAGGAAGCTCCACAAGTGAATCCTCCCAGGCAGCTCCTGAAGAACAATTTCCTCCATAAAATCGGCCAACAATCGCTGTGAGCGTTCACACTCCTGTATAAGAACACGGTAACATGGCAATCTCGCAAGTTTGACGCCAGCGGTCCCGCCTTGCCAATTTGCGCAAGGGATCGCGGGGGTGAT